CACCAGCTGCTCCAGAGGAGAGAGATAGACCATCTTCTCAGTAAAATTTGAGATTTGCAGCCTCCAAAACTCAATAGAGGTCCTGAGTCTGAACTAGTTCAGTGGTTAGAGAGAAGTTATTGTTATTATATACTGTCAAGTCACTTGTGACTCATAGTGATCCTATGTACAACAGCTCTTAGCCCTGCTTTGTCGTATACCAACGTTATTGTCTCTGACACACCTCCCCCAATTACCCGTGACTGAATCAATCCATCTCATTGAGGGTCTCCCTCTCCTGCCTGTCCCTCCATCTTCCCAAGCATGATGTCTCTCCTTGCAACATGCCCAAAGTATGCTAAACGAAGCTTCATAATTGTTGCCTCAAAGGAGCAGCCTGGTTTCACCCTCTTTAGGACAAACCTGTTTGTTTTACTAGAAGTTCATGGTATATTCAGTACTCTTCTCCAGCATCACAGCAAAAAGTCATCAATTCTCCTTCTAACATCCCTAGTCATTGTCCAACTTTCTGTTGCATAGCAAGTAATTACAAAGACCATGGCCTGGATCAGGTGCACCTTAGTCTCCAACCTGACATTGATGTTCTCAGTACTCTGAAAAGGTCCCTGACAGCAGACTTTTCCAATGTAATTCATCTTTTGATTTCCTGGCTGCTGGTATTAAGAGTGTTGTTTGTGTAGTCAAGCAAACTAAAGCTGTTAACAGTCTCAATCTCTTCACTGTCTATGATGATGGTGTTGTTCAGCCCAGTGGTGAGAACCTTTGTTTGAATTTGTAATGAATGCGAATTGGAAACTATAAAATAAAGATTTTTTTTTCTTTTAAAACCAGCATACCATTTTGCTTAGGCTTTGCTGCTTTATAATCTACTCTTCCATAGTTGAAGCATTTTAGAAAGAACACATAGAAATATCCACTCCAAGACTTTTTTTGTTTGTTTGTTTCTCTAGTCAATTATGAAACAGTACTCAGTCAACCTTTGTGGAGATATTTATTTTAGTCAAATTGTTATTGATGATTCTTCAATTTGAGGGAAAACTTAAAAAGTAGAGAAGAATTTTTACATTTATACCAGATGGCCTACTTAAATTACCTCAAATACGTGGATTGTCAAGTACTTGCAACAAAGTTGGGAGAAGAATGAGAACTTAGGAGAAAGTTCTTGATTGTGGCTACTGATACCCAAATAGATTTAAAAAATATTAATATTATTTAGTGCCACAGAGGTCCTAAATCTTAAAAAAAAAAAACACACCACAAAACCCACACAAACATTCTGTCTTATGTTCTCCACAGAATAATTTTCTCCCTTATTCCTCACTCTTGGCTAGTTGAAGGGTGTCTCATTCAGTGGACTTTCCTTTTCCCCCTCATCTAAGCTGCAGTTCCTAAGGCTAATGTCAACTGGTTACCTCATTAAAGAACTTACTGCTTCAGACTAAAATTATCTCTACAAGACAGACATGCAGAATAGTTAACACTATTGTTGAATACATGAATTGTAATCTCTGGGAATGTATGTGTCTGTAATGCAATTTTCCATTATCTCTTTTGTAGTATTCCATCAAAAGAAATTTACATTCTATTTCTCAAAATTTCCTTTAAATAGTAAAATATGCAATAAATATATTCATTATTTCATGGTCTTATAGCATCCAATTTCATTATCTTTTCAGTTGATTTTGCATGATATAGCTCTGCATAAACAGCCATTATAAGAGTGAAAACTTGTTTAGAGTCAAGATGTATATATTTTTTAGAATCTGCCAGGTACCCTATGCATTTAAATTCTTGTTTATTTGTTTTTAACCTCTCTTAGAAGTATTTTCTAATAGAGGTGACCAAGTTAATTGTTCATTGCTGCTATGTTCCATTGAATCATAACCAACTCATATTTGCCCCTCTAACAGGTTTTAGAGATAGTAAATCAAATATGGACTGAGTCTTAATATCAGAAAGACAAAGCTTCTCACCACTGGGCCAATTGGCAGCATCAGGATGGATGGTGAAGAGATTGAGATTGTTTACAGCTTTAGTTTGCTTGGCTCCATGGTCAACACTCTGGGCACCATCAGCCAGGAAATTAAAAGATGTATCATGATGGGAAAGTTTGCTGCTAGGGACCTCGCCAGAGTACTGAAGAGCAATGGTCTCACTCTGGAGACTAAGGTGCGCCTGATACAGGCCATAGTCTTTGCAATCACTTGCTATGCAACAGACAGCTGGACAATAACTAGGGAGAATAGAAGGAGAATTGATGCCTTTAAGCTGTGGTGCTGGAGAATAGTATTGAATATTCTATGGACTGCTAAGAAGATGAACAGATTCATCCTGGAGAAGGTTAAACCGGACTGCCCCTTGGAGGCAAGGATTCTGAGGCTTTGTCTGACATTCTTTGAACATGCTGCAAAAAGGGACCAGTCCTTGGAAAGGGACGTCATGCTTGGGAGGGTGGAGGGACAGAACAGGGGAGGAAGACCCTCTATGAGCTGGATTCATTCAGTAACTGAAGTAATGGGGTGGGTGTGTCGGAGACAGTGAGACTGGCCCAGGACAGAGAAGGGTTTAGGGCTGTTGTTAGGATCGTGAGGCATCGTAGGCGGCTCAACAGCACATTACAACAATAACAAAAGATCAAATAGGAGTAGTTTGTCCATCCTTTTCCCATGGAGCAGTTGGTGAATTTAACATGCCTTTGGGATTGCAGTGTGATTTCTTACCATTCAGTCACTAGATTTCCCTATTGGTAGGTTACTTGTTATCTGTCTAGGCCTATCCTTCTTGTTGTGTGTCACTAAGTCAAAACCAACCCATAGCTAAACCTCCAGCAAGTTTTCAGAGGCAGTAATAACACAGGTGTACTGTTCATATGATTTTCAACATCAAGGAAATAAGAATTCTTACCATTGGACTGATAGGAAACATCATGATACATGGAGAAAAGATGGAAATTGTCAACAACGTCATCTTACTTGGATACAAATCAACATCCTTGGTACCAGCATTCAGAAAATCAGAAGGCATATCAACTGGCAAGTCAGTTTGAGGACTAAGATGTGTCTGTTCCAGGCCATGATCTTTCTGATCACTTGTATATTTCTGAGATTTGAATAGTGAATAAGGATGACAGAAGAAGAATCGATAAGTTTGAGCTGTGGTGTTGGAGAAGAGTACCGAACATCCCGTAAACTTACAAAAGAATAAATATGTCTTGGAGAAAGTGCAGCCAGAGTGCTCTTTGGAGACAAAGATGATAAAGCTTTGCCTCACATACTTCAGGTATTTGCTAAGAGAGTCTTTCCATGGAGAGGGATATTATGCTTGGAAGAACAGACGGTTGGTCAAAGAGAGGAAGACCCTCAGCCAGGTGGATTGACGCGGTGCCTGCCACAGTGGGCCCTAGTGTGTCAGGAAGTGTGAAGATGGCACAGGATAGGACAGGGTTCAGATCTGTAGTTCATAGGTTTGTTATAGATCATATTCATCTCAATGACACTTAACAACAACAAAAACAACAATCACACAAAAGGAGATTGCTCATCCTCTCTGGAAGAGCAGCTGATGGATTCAAACCACATACCTTTGGACTGCAGCACTAATTCTTACAACTAGGACACTAAAGCTTAGAAATGTAAATATTAAATGACATCTTGAAGGGAGGCAAAGGAAGTGAAGCAAATCATCAAACTTACCTTCTCTTGTGGTCCTGTGGGTTGAGCATCTTTTCTTTCTTTAAATACTACATTGATCATTTGTTCTATTGAATCACATTGCCTTACAGTAGCTTTGGTGCTTTCTGCTAGTTTGTCCAAGTTCCATCCATGTATGAGCTAATTTTTCCAGTTCCATCTTGCCTACACCTCAAGTTCAAGTTGATTGTGTTTTTTCTTCTCATCCAGTATCAATCACTTTTGCAGGACCAGACTTAATATAAGAAGTATTAGCTATCCATAATCATCTTTTATCTTTTCTCATGTAGATGTGTAGACCACATCAAACTCCGTAGCTTCATACATTTATTGCGTCACAGCTGTGCAGACTTACAGCCTCTACAAAAGGAATACCTACCTCATACAGTTGATATGAATTAAGATATTTGAAGCATTTTAATAAAACCCTTAATGGAATATTTTTATTATCATCATCATCATAATGATCTTTATCATATCATAGCATAGCATATCCATCACCTTTTAGTCTACCACAAACTTTAAAATACAATGAAATCATGCCTTGGCTCACTGAATTTAATTTTAAGGAGACAATTTGTCCACATTTGTACCCATTCTTTCATTTATTTACGCAGCAAATACTTATTCGGCACTTGCTCTGTGCCAGTCCGCGTAATATAGCCAACAAGTAAGACAGGTCTCTGCCGTCATAGAGTGAGTTTTCTGAAAAGAGAAGACAGAAAGCTGACAAATACAGAAGTGTGACAATTGCACAGAATAGTAAATGCTAAAAAACATTTTTCCCTTCCATGGAGTAAGTTCCAACTCAGAGCAGCCCTCTGTTTCTGAGGGTATTAGCCACGATGGCAGCAGACTTTAAACTTGTCATCCCCATGCTCTTCTCTCCAAACACACATGTTCTTGCTTGTGCCAGGGGTATAGTAAATAGCATACTCCAAACTTGTATCTTACTATGATTACTCAGTAATATGACTAGCTTTCCGTTACTAGTTTATAAGCCCCTAAGTATAGCAATTTCTTTTTTCTTTGTTATATGAAGATTATTCATTAAAATATGTCTTTAAACTGAATTATAGCATAATATTGACCTGAAATATTCTCTCCAGCTAACTAAGGTTCTTCAGTCTCAAGGTTTTATACTCAATAAAACTTTCAGAAGCGTGGGGTGTACATTTTCATGATACTCTTGTTCCTTGTCTGTATTTTTTTGGAATCACATAGATGATACCAACTATTTTTTGGTTTCTATAGGAACCTTTTTGAGTTGTGTTACTGGGTTTAAATTCTTTTTAACTTTCTTTTCTACAGGGTGCGGCTTTAATTAGAATGCTGGCTAATTTTATGGGCCACTCAGTATTTCAAAGCGGTTTGCAAGTAAGTAAAATACTTTCTTTTCCCTTCAGATTCTTCTTGTCAATATTTTATAAAGAGGTTTGAAAATGAGTAAGAAAAGAAAGCTAAATTTGTTGGGAAACTAGGATGTGTCCAGTAAACAGTATCTTTTAGTGAAAGAAATAAGTCATGTATAGCATGCTTACTGTATCAACCAACCAACCTTAAATTATGATGTTAGAATCTGCATTTTTAAATGGAAATTACTTCACTATGTAAGACCTATATAATTGATAGATTTTCAGAAAACCTACTTCTTTTTTTATAGATAAGTTTATATAA